GCCCAAACCTTATCTAGAACAGGAAAGAAACCATAAAACCATAATTCCCCCGAGGGATTCCAGCACTCCCCAACATCCCTATGAGTCTCAGGAAGACAGGTTTGTTTTCCTTTGAGAATCCGTTGTCTCTTTGCGAAAGGTCTGTTTCCCGAAAGAAAGGAATTTGCTTCAGTTCTGCTTCTGGAACTAGAAAGCCAGGTCTTCACCAAACTAATGTACAAAGGGATAAAGTCACAGTTGCCATGACCTCACACTAACATCAACAAATACTTACTGGGTGTAGGACATTGTGCTAGCTGCTGTGAGGGAAGAAGAATGGATATCTTTCCAAAGATCTTAAAAGATACAGACTCATTTTCCATTAAAAACTAATTACTTGGCCAAGCATGGTGGTCATGCCTGTAATCCCAGCACTTTGAGAGGCCGAGACAGGAAGATCCCTTGAGCCCAGTTCAAGACCAGCCTGGGCAACATGGTGAAACCCATCTTTACAAAAAATACAAAATTTAGCCAGACTTGGTGACTTGTGCCTGTGGTCCCAGCTACTTCAGATGCTGGGATGGATGGATCACTTGATCCAGGGAGCTAGAGGTTGTAGTGAGCTGAGATTGTGCCACTGCACTCTATCCTGGATGACAGAACAAGCCCTATCTCAAAAAACAAAATATACTAAGCACTGAGCTCTGTGAGGTTGGCAGTATCATCAAGAGGCTTAGCTTTGTATGAGCTCCATTCTGAGAACCTGGGAGGGTGAGTCTGTGCCAATATCCTGCTGTGCTGCGGGATGGAGCCCAGCCTTGATCTTTTGGGTTGCCACCAGAATAAAGCTGCAGATAGAAAATGTGTGGGGGGGGAGAGTGGAAGAAGGAATCTCAGAGGGGAAGAAAGGACCTCCAGCTTCAATTTGAGACAATTTTACAAGAAAGGTAATGAAGGCTATGCACCACATTCAGGTGTTCCAGATCAGGGGTTGGCAAACTATGACCCATCCAGCTTTTGTATGTACCGTTTGATGGGAAGGCAGCCACAATTCATTTTTTTCTTGTTATCTATGGTGCTTTTGTGCTTCAGAAGTAGAGCTGAGCAGTTATGATACATACCATATGGCCCAAAGTAAAACTATTTACTATCTGGTCTTTACAGAAAAAGTTTACCAACCTTTGGTTTCGAACATGAACAAGAGTTCTGCCAGTCTGACGTGTACTTTTGATCAGTAATTTGCCCATGGTCAGACACACAGTAAGTAGAGAAGCAGGGTTTCAAACCACTCCTGCGCCATGACCTTGGCCACTACATTCTGTACCGCTTGCCTCAAGAAATGTGAAAATAAACAACTAAAAAATCTAATTGGGAAGTAAATTCTCATCAGACATTCAACATTTAAGTATTTGTCAAGTGCTAATACCAAATGCTAATACGGAAGGACAATGTTAATTTTTATCTACATTGATCTATGATTTTCAGATAAATATCTTGAAACTAAATTTTTAAAACCTGTAACTTTTAGTAATTTCTATTCTCTTCTGGGTCTTTATTGGACTTTGATTTCTTTCTTTTTATTGGGAAGCATTTCTAGTCATTCTTATAAAACTCAACTATATAAGATTGTCATAAACTAGTGATTTTCGTCTCATTACATCTGAAACGCAGACAGTGAGAAGAAGCAAGACAACTACAATCTTTGTTTTTATATTTTATTTAACTATATTTGCCAAGATACTTGCAAAGCCTGTGGAGGTCTAGGAACAGCATCTCCAGTCAACAATGTTTCTTTTCTTGCGCTTCAATCTCTAGTGATTGATCAGGGGCCTCCAAGTAGCAAGTTCTTTGTTTGGGGAAGGGATCAGTGAACAATGTAACTCATTCCTGACATTTCAGTTAACAACTTTGAAAGAAAAGGTTTTTAAAATCCAATGAAACTCCTAAAAAATAATTGACTTTGCTTCTGCCCCCATGTTCTCCTCCAAAGAATCACACCTGAAAGTTTCCAATGATTTCATCAGCGAATTTCCCTCCTGTTTTAATTAACATTGTAGGTTGGAGGTCCTATACGCTGGAGACTTTTATATCTGTGTTTGATGTTACAACAAATAGAATTTGAAAAATATATATATATTTTTTGAGACGGAGTCTGCTCTGTCACCAGGCTGGAGCACAGTGGCGCAGTCTTGGCTCACTGCAACCTCCGCTTCCCTGGGTTCAAGCAATCTTCTGCCTCAGCCTCTCAAGTAGCGGGGACTACAGGCGGGTGCCAAATGCCTGGCTAATTTTTGTATTTTTAGTAGAGCTAGGGCTTCTCCATGTTGACCAGGCTGTTCCTTGAACTCCTGACCTCAGGTGATCCATCTGCTTTGGCCTCCCAAAGTGCTGGGATTACAGGCATGAGCCACTTTGCCCAGCCAGATTCAATGGCACTCTCTATTAAAATACCACTGGCATTCTTCATGCAATAGCAAAAATGACCGGGTGCATGGTGGCTCATGTCTGTAATCCCGGCACTTTGGGAGGCCGACGGTGGATGGATCACTTGAGGTCAGGAGTTCAAGAGCAGCCTGGCCAACATGGTGAAATCCTGTCTCTACTAAAAATACAGAAATTAGCCAGGCATGATGGCGTGCCTGCTTGTAGTCCCAGCTACTTGGGAGGCTGAGGTGGGAGAATCACTTGAACCCAGGAGGTGGAGGTTGCAGTGAGCTGAGATTGTGCCACTGCACTCCAGCCTGGGCAACAGGGTGAGACTCCAGTCCCCCCCCCACCAACCCCCCATCAAAGAAAAAGAGAAAGATATATTGGTTCAGCATGGTGACTATAATTAATGAAGAAATATATTGAAAAATACAGACTAGTTCGAAGGTAGTGAGTTATCACAACTGGTTGTTGAGTCAATTGTGTATTGAACTTTTTGTTCTACTCTTTCCCTGCTTCTTACTGCTGCATTTGACTAGTCTTAAAGAGAAGGAAAAAGGAACAAATAAAGAAAATACATAGAGGACATTCAGTGTTTCCACTACAAAAATGAAAAATAACTGTGAAGTAGTGCTTTTGATGATTCACCAATGAATGTATACTTGAAATGTTACGTTTCAAAAAGCAAAAAAAAAAACAAAAAAGAAATGTTGTACATGATAAATACATAGTTTTTTTCTGTCAGTTTGGAACATTTAGAAATTAAAGAATAGATAATGTGAAACACAAAGCTATTTATGTAGGTAGTTTAAATTTTTTAGTAGCCAAATTAAAGAACCAACTCAAGAGACTGGTGAAATTAATAATGTTTCTTTCTTTCTTTTTTTTTTTTTTTGAGACAGTTTCTCTCTTGTTACCCAGGCTGGAGTGCAATGGCATGATCTCGGCTCACCGCAACCCCCAACTCCTGGATTCAGGCAATTCTCCTGCCTCAGCCTCCTGAGTAGCTGGTATTACAGGCACACACCACCATGCCCAGCTAATTTTTTGTATTTTAGTAGAGATGGGGTTTCACCATGTTGACCAGGATGGTCTCGATCTCTTGACCTAGTGATCTACCTGCCTCGGCCTGCCAAAGTGCTGGGATTACAGGCATGAGCCACCATGCCCGGCCCAATAATGTTTCTTACTTAACCTAATATCTGTGATGGACTGAATTTGCGTTCTTTTCCCTTGCCAAATTCATATGTTGAAACCCTCACACCCAATGCGATAGTTTTAGGATGTGGGTCTTTAGAGAGGTGATTAGGATTAGGTGAGGTCATCAGGGTAGAGTCCTTATGAATGGAATTGGTAACCTTACAAGAGTCACAAGGGAGCTTGATTCCTCTCCCTGCCCTCTCCCATGTGAAGATATGACTTCTGGCAGTGTGCAGCCCAGAAGAGGGTCCTCACCAGAACCCAACCATGCTGACATCTTGATCTTGGACTTCTGGCTTCTAAAACTGTGAGAAATAACTGTGTTGTTATAAACTACTCAGTCTCTGATATGTTGTTAGCAGCCCAATCTAAGACAATATCCAAGGTATTATTCCAACATGCAATCAATATAAAAATTAATCACTTTCATTTTACATCAAGTCTTTGAAATACAGTGTATATTTTTTCTATTTTTTTTTCTTTTATGGCTGCCCCCTCACCTGCAGATTGTGGGGGATTCTTATTTTGAGGGCTATTCAGATTGTACCTTAAAGCAGATTTAAAATTTTTTTAATTGTGGTGAATGAAATATGCATAACATAAAATTTATCATCTTGACTTGTCAATGTATCACATTTGGTCTTAGCCAAAGGCTGAGAAGCAATAGACTTTTAAATGTATCAGTGGTATTAAGTACATTCATAGTTTTGTGTAACCATCATTATTCATCTCCAGAACTCTTCATTTTATAACCTCAAACTCCATACCCATTAAATAACAGTAACTCCTCACTCTCCCTTCCCTCAGGCAACCACCATTCTGCTTTCAATGTGGTGTGTATTTTATCCTTACATCACATCTTAGTCAAGGCTAGCAATGCTCACTCAATAGCTGCATGTGGCTAGTGTTGGACAGTGTTGGTCTAAAAGATGCACAGGTTTAGGGAAGACATAATTAGTTTGTCCTGTATAGGCTTCTTCTATTATAGTTTTGGTCAACATCACTGGAAGGGCAGAGATCATATCATCCAGGGTTTGGAGCTAACCACACCTTATCTGTTCTCTTGGCTGCAAGTTAAGTAGAGAGCATGCTCATAAGCACATGATTCTGACACCTCTCTCCCCACTAGGGGCATGCGGTCAGGGACCCTTTAGCAAACAACTGCCTGTAACAATGGTGAAGGAAAGGAACTGGGGGCAGAAGTGTATTAAGAAAATTTCAGAATGTTTTGGGGGAAAAAAAGGGAAACTTCTACTTTTATGATCAGAAATCCTCAAGGGAAAGATGGTTCAGAAAGGTTGGGAAGCTCTAAAGTGTAAGAATCAGACAACACAGTCACCAGTGATTCCAGTGAAGAAAAATGAGAAGTAGCTCATGAAATTTATATGATGCCTAAGGCTGATTTGACCATTTTGGTTCCAAAATGATAAATATAGAAGGGTATTGCATTAGTCTTCTGGGGCTACTGTAGCAAAATACCACAGAATGGGTGGTTTAAACAGAAATTTATATTCTTGCAGTTCTGGAGGATGGAAATCCAATATCCAGGCTAATTTGATTTCTGGTGAGGGCTCCCTTCTTGGCTTGCAGACAGCAGCCTTCTTCCTGTTTCCACATTTGACCTCTTTTTGCATGCCTTGTAGAAGAGAATGTGAGCAAGTTCTCTGCTTTATCTTCTTTTAAAATTTATTTTTATATTTTGTGATGATGGGGTCTCAGTATGTTGCCCAGGCTGATCTCAAACTCCAAGACATAAGTGATCCGCTGGCCTTAGCTTCCCAAAGTGTTGGGGTTACAGGTGTGAACTGCTGTGCTCAGCCTGCTGTCTCTTTTTATGGGGGCACTACTTCTATCATACCAGCAACCAACCCATATGACCTCATCTGACCTCCCGGTCCTCATCTCCAAATGCCTTCACATTGTGGGGTTTAGGCTTTTAACAGAAGAATTTTGTGGGGCCAAGATTTAGTCCCATTGCACTACAGATGAATAGCGTGAACCCATATGAGTGTTAGGAAGCAAATTATGATCCTCAAGGAACTGAGGCTTGGAAAAATTACAAAGGAAAACACAAAAGGCTTCTTCCTTTACATTCAGTACAAGAAGAGGACAAAAACAGGTTACATTAAAAAAATTAATGACCTTGAAAGCCTTGGCAAGCTCTGGAAGCCTGGCAACTTGGGCTGAAAATCCAGGTCTAATACGTTTGCTATAACATAATACCACCTCCTCATAGGGTTCCATGTTTCAGAGATAGAAGGCCAAGTCATCCTGTGTTTCTGAATTAGTTGCTATGTAAAATTTATTCACTAACATGAATCTGTTAACTGAGCAGTTAAAATAGCATGTTTATTTTTATAAACCCCTGTCCTCGGGGCCCTTGGCTTGGCTCACTGTTTAGCATTGTATCTACCTGGCTCATGCCAGGAACATGGCAGTGGTTCTTGATTTTCCTTTTCTTCTTTCCTCCTAAGTTGAAGCCACCTCTGAAGCATCTCAAATCTGTCCATTATTATTTCACCATCTCTTCTGTCAAGGTCAGATGCTCGTTAAGTCTGTTGATTCTATTACTTTTTTTAATTTTTTTTTTTTTTTTTTTTTGATACAGAGTCTCACTTTATCTCCAGGCTGGAGTGCAGTGGTGCAATCTCAGCTCACTGCAACATTTGACTCCCTGGTTCAATCTGTTCTCCTGCCTCAGCCTCCTGAGTAGCTGGGATTACAGCCATCTGCCACCATGCCCAGCTAATTTTTGTATTTATAGTAGAGACCATGTTGGCCAGGCTGATCTTGAACTCCTGACTTCCGGTGATTCACCCACCTCTGCCTCCCAAAGTGCTGGGATTACGTGTGAGCCACCATGCCTGGCCAACACTACTACTTTTATAGCTTAAATTTCTATTTTCAAGTCTTATTGAAAGGAAATATGCAATTTAAGAATTTTAACATTTACTATCTGCGGTACTTCCTGCAAATGCTTTCTAAAACCTTTCTAATATGTGTTCTGTAAAACTCTATTTCTTTCATATCCATTATTGACTTCTGCAGATCCACATCTTCATTTGAATATTGAGGAATCAAACCAAGAGTTTATGGTGAAAAGTGAAGAACTCTACGACTCCCTCATGAATTGCCACTGGCAGCCGCTGGATACAGTTGACTCAGAAATTCCAGATGACACCCCAAAGTGAAGCAAGATGTTCATTAAGCTCCCCAGTTATCATATTAATTGTGTCTTCTTTTGTTTAGGGAAAAAAGTAGTTCTCCCAGGAAGGTACTGGATTCTGTATATGAAAACTAGCATCCAGGGCTTATGTGTGATTGACATAAGAGAACATTAATGTAAATAAACTTCACCAGCACATCTGTTCCTGGAAGTGTGTTATATTAGGTAAGTGTCAGAAGAGCTCATGTGGTGATCATGGTAGAACAAGCTGTGATACAAAACCCTCGGAAAATAGGTTTAATATGAGGTGGGTTTGAGCTGAACTGATTGTGGCATTGCCTACTATGATATGATTCGCTGCTTTCTGTAACTTCAAACTCTCTTAGAAATTATATCCATAGGCAATGTAAGGTTCCTTGCTTCTGTCTTGTCTAGAAAATGTTAGTTAGAACTGGATGCTTGATCTCCATTTCCTGGCCCCATGAGAGAGAGCTAAAGGTGGTGGTAGAGACTCAATTGAACAGAAAGATTCCTAAGCATCAGGCTGGGCGTGGTGGCTCACACCTGTAATTCCAGCACTTTGGGAGGCTGAGGTGGGAGAATCAGCTGAGGTTGGGAGATTGATATCAGCCTGACCGACATGGAGAAACCCTGTCTTTACTAAAGATACAAAAATTAGCTGGGTATGGTGGCACATGCCTATAATCCCAACTACTCAGGAGGCTGGGGCAGGAGAATCGCTTGAACCCAGGAGGCAGAGGTTCAAGTGAGCTGAGATTGTACCATGGCACACCAGCTTGGGCAACAAAGTGAAATTCTGTCTCAAAAACAACAAAAACAAATCAACAACGAAAAAGCATGGAAAAGGTTTGCTTGATCCAAACAACCTGTCATCTTTCTAAGATAGAGGAATTAGGCCCTCACAAAAGCCAGCCAATGTGTATATCGACTGTGTTCCTTATAAGATTTTTTTTTTTGTCCTGAAATAATCATTGTGTCCTGATACTTAAGTGACCCCAGGGACTGATCTGACTGAGTTGACCACTAGAAGGCTGATTGCTTAGAAGGAAGTTGATCAGACTGTGGGCAAAGGCAATCTGACATCTCTTCTGCTCTGAAGGTGCTTGACAGATGCTAATCCTTGCGTTAACCAGGTTCAAAGACCTGAAACCTGGGTGGAGAGCCAGGTGGGCTGAAGCCACTATAAAGGAGCTTCTTCTGCCCCGTGGTTTCTCAACCTTGGCACTATTGCCATTTGGGGCTGGACGCATCTTTGCTGTGGGAGACTGTCTTGCACGTTGTCCTGACCTCTACTGCTAGATGCCAGAGGCACCCTGCACTACAGTGGTGACAACCAAAATGTCTCTAGACATTGCCAAATGTTCCCAATGTTTTGTATCTTTAGTAAAGACAAAATTGTCCCCCCCCACACACACACAATTGAAAACCACTGGAATAGGGCAATGTTTTCAAACTAGGGTGTATCAGAATCTCCTAGAAGGCTTGTTGAAACACAGATTCTTGTGCACCATCCTGAGTTTGATTCAATAAGTTTTGGGTGGAACCTGACGATTTTCAATTCTCTAAAAAGTTTCTGGATAACAACACTCTGAAAACCACTGGCACAGGGATATTCTCAACTAGTTCAGCTTAGTTCTACCTAGAACAGAGGGTGAAGTTCTGCTTTCACTCTTCCCTCCTTAATACAAGCTGTGCAAGTCCCTACTTTCCTACAAGGCCTGGCTTGATCAGCCTTCCTCCTCTAGCCATATGTTTTGGGGACCAGCACTATATTCAGCTCCAGGGAATGGCTTTCATAGCATCTGAGTCATGTGTAGTAATCCCATTCTTGTTGCCAGTGATCAGTGAAGACATCTGATAAAATTCTGGCTAACAAGATGTGAGGTGATGTTTTCTCATTTTTAAAAGGAGGAACAAAAAAAGAGACAGCTGCAGTCTCGTACTGAGCATTAGTTTTAGATGTGATGCCTGGTACTGTGGCAGACATACTGTGACTATCAGGAAAACAATCTTAGGGTAGTGCTGATGCACCTGGGATGGCAGTGAAGGGTGATGGAAAGACCCTGGATCCATGATAATGGCTTCGAAGCTGTTGAATTAGCCAACCCTGGATTCTCTCTTATCTGGACTTAGGTGTAATCCATTCTGAATTTTTGTTATTTCTAGCAAAGTATCCTGACTCTAGCATGGATAGATACAGATAGCATGTGTGTAGAGCTGTGCTGTCTGATATCACAGCCACTAGCCACATATGGCTATTAAATTTCTATTTAAGCAAAATTAAAACTTTGCTTTTCCTTTTGCACTAGGTACATTGCAAGCGTTCAGTAGCCACACGTTGCTAGGGGCTACCGTATTGCGTAGCACTGGTCTTACAGGACTTAGAGGTAAGACCAGTGCTACGCAATACGGTAGCCCCTAGCAACATGGTAGCCCTGAGATTAGGTTAGGTGGATTCTCAATTTTTCTTCACACTCTTTTTTTAATTGTCCCCCCTCTATAAGATTTTAATTCCATATTTATTATATATGCTCTATGCCTGTTCCTTACACATTGGAAAAAGTAAGACTTATCCCCTCTCTATTCCTCCAGAACCAATTTTCACCTCCTTGGAGGTTGATACTGTTCCCTGTTGCAAATACATGGCTAGTGTGGTAGTCATAAGTAAGTTTAGGCAGGGATTTTAGGTCACTGTAAAGAATTTGGATTTTATTAAAATTAGGAGACAATGAAAGAATTTTAAGCATAGGATTGGCATGGTCAGTTTTGCCTTTAGAAAGTTACTTGAAAGGCAGAGGGGCCAAGATAGCTGATTAGAAGCAGCTGCAGTGCTCATGGAGAGGAATGAAAGTGGCGAGTGAATTTAGCACCTTCAACTGAAATATCCAGGTTCTTGCATTGGGACTGATTAGGAAAACAACTGGACCCACAGAGAACAAAGAAAAGGGTGGGGTGATGACCCAATTGGGAACAGCCTGGGTCCAAAGGAACCCCTGCTCCCAGCCAAGGGAAGTGGTGAGTGTGAGTGGTGCAACCCCACTCATGAAACCACACTTCCCCCATGGATCTTTGCAACCTGCAGATCAGGAGACCCCTTGTGAGCTCATACCACCAGGAGCCTTTTAAACATATGAATGTATGCTGATGCTTTCATTTTGTCCTGAGCTCCCTCATCACACCCTAAATCCAGATCTTCTTAATCAAGCTTCATCAAGTTCTGCATGCCATGTTATATGCTGCCCTACCAAACTGAGTTTAACAATGCTGCCCAAAACCTTAGAAGCATTATCTAACTGCTAACTTCTATTCATTCTCATCAAGCCTTATTGTGTGATGCTATGCCCCTTACGGACATACACACTGTATGTCATTCAATCTAAAATTCTACTAAATGTAAGTTCCATAATTTCTTGTACCACTAAGAAATATAAAACCTTGCCAATTAAACTATGACAATACTTTGTTTAACCACTTATAATTTTTATTTTAAAAATTTATAGGGGCCCTTTTAGACCAGGGATTTGCAAACTATAGCTCATGGTCCAAATCCAACCACCTTGGATTTAAATAATGCTTAATGAGAGGTAGCCAAGCTCACTGGTTCCCTTTTGGCTGCTTTTGCACTACAATGGGAGAGGCGAATTGCTGGGACAAAGATAGGATGGCCTTCAGAGGCAGAACTATTTATCTGGCCAACCCCTGCTCTTGCTTCATTTAGACACTTTTTTTAAAAAAATCACACTGACCAGGCGCAATGGTTCACACCTGTAATCCCAGCACTTTGGGTGGCCAAGGCATGCAGACTGCCTGAGCTCAGGAGTTCAAAACCAGCCTGGGCAACATGGCAAAACCCTGTCTTTGCTAAAAATACAAAAAATTAGCTGGGTGTGGTGGCAGTGCCTGTAGTCCCAGCTACTCGGGAGGAGAGGCAGGAGAATCACTTGAACCCAGGAGGCGGAGGTTGCAGTGAGCCGAGATTACACCACTGCACTCCAGCCTGGGTGACAGAGCAAGACTCTGTCTCAAAAATAATAAATAAAAATTAAAAATCAAAGTTATTTTATTTACACACAAGATTGTTATAAATGAAATAAACTGGTCATTTCTTTACAATTCATATGCAAGAAAATATGGATTTGTGGTCATTTCTCTAAAAACAAATATGGGCTCCACTAAACTCAAATTTTGGCTCTGCTGATTTGTTTTCTGTACCCTTTTCACTGCCAAATCATCATGTCATCTTTTTGAAAATATTTTAAATAGGATCAGCAATAAAGACTGGGCTTCTCATTTGGGATCACTGCTAGGGCTGAAGTCCTCTGACAGTTCTGTAGGTTAGAAAAAAACATTTTTTCCTATACCCTTCGGAGTTTTTAGTGCCCTCCCCCACCATAATGGAAAACATTAACGAGAGAAAAGCTGACATTTATTAACGTGTACATACCCAGACCCAGAAGATACCCAGGGAAAAATGAGTGACTCTCATAGAGGTGGCTTAGAACTCAGGCTTTAACACCTGTGACCTTCATCTCAAAGGAGATTGAGGGAGGCAAGTTATGGAGAGGTGACTAGGAAAAGCACAGTAAACACGGGTAAGGTTTATCACGCAAATTTAAAAATCAGTCCCTTCTCTATTGATGAGCATCTTTATTGATTTAATGAACAGTTCAGTGGCATTAAGTATATTCATGTTGTTGGCTACCATCACCACCATCCATCTCCAGAAGTTTTCATCTTTCCAAACTGAAACTTTGTACCCATTGAATAATAACTCCCCATTCCCCTTCTCCTCCCATCCCCTGGCAGCCACCATTCGGTCTCTGTAGATTTGTTTATTCTGGACATTTCATATAAATGGAACCATATAATATGTGATCTTTAATGTCTGGCTTATTGCACGTAACAATGTTTTCAAGGTTCATCCATGTGGTGGCACGTGTCAGAATTCTTTTTCAGGATGGATCATATTCTATCGAATGTATGTGTACCACATTCTGTTTATCCATTTGTCCATTTGGGTTGCTTCCACCTTTTGGCTATTGTGAATAATGCTGCTATAAATACATTAGGTTTTCAAAGCAAGTTAGGTTTTTAAGGCAAAGTAATGGCTGAGGGTTACATTCTGCTAGCAGATCATCTTTTACAAACAGGCTCGAGCCCCGGGAAGACAGTGTTCCGCTGGCTGCTTCTTGGAGGCCAATTCTTCCATTAAGAGGTGAGACCAATTTTCACAAAGCTCTCAAAATTCAAAGAGCTTGGTTAAACCTTTTCCCCAGAATACTAAGGCTCATGGCTCTATACTTAAAAAAGTGTTCAATCATTTAGTAGTTCTTGGCACAGCAAGAAGGAACTATTCTGCTTTAAGGTGACTTTCTGTCCTTACTTACATATCAAACAGCTGACAGCCTAGCTAGGCAACATGGCGAGACCCCATCTCTACAAAAAAGTACAAAAAAATTAGCAGGGCATGATGGCATGCACCTGTAGTCCCAGCTACTTGGGGACTGAGGTGGGAGGATGGCGTGAGCCCAGGAGGTCGAGGCTGCAGTGAGCTGAGGTCATGCCACTGCACTGTAGCCTGGGTGACAAAATGAGCCCCTGCCTAAAAAACAAACAAAAAAGCTGGATCCCTCTTTCAATAAGGAAGACTGGGAAAACCACTAATTTCTGAAGGGACACTCCTTAATTAGGGCATTTTACAATACACATAATGTAATATTTAAGACTGTGATTAGAATGGGTTAGAGTAGGAGTTACATGAGGAGTTAAGAAACAGCCACTCATGGCTAAGGTGCCAACTGCAGTCAGTTGAACTTTCACGCCTTCCGTGTTCATAGTGACCTGGGATGTTCTTCCCGCAGGCTCACAGGTGGTCCCCAGGTCTGCCATGTGTCCTAGGCAAGACCCATGAGGAAAGTAGGACACATGTTCCAAAATAAGAGTTATTAGTTTTTTTTATTGTTGATATTTTATATTTTCTTTGAAGTAGCTTTTACTCTTGGAGCAGATACCAGTCTGTTTCCACAGGGAATTCACTCTGGTTCAGAGTTTTCTCTCGAATCCTCAGTTCTAGGCATTCCACAGTAAGTGGGTAGGTCTCCAACTTTAACTTGTTAGTGAACATGCTACAAGATATATACAGCCACTTTAAATCCCCAGGGCCATAGACGCACATATCTTGCCAATAGTGGCCTGTAAGTCAACAAGAAGACATCAAGGGAAACAAAGTAAAACAATCACCAAAACTAAGACATCTTGCATCCTGAAGAGAGAAAGCATTCTGGATTCGTTCACCTCTGAGATAAGTGTTTATTGTGTAAGATACACTGCTTCATTTGCAAATGATTCTGTCAGCTGCATTTATTTGCAAAAGCAGCAAGGATGAGTCTGAAATAGAATTTGTGGGCGAATGCAAGTTTCAAGCTGAAAAGTTGTAGGAATATGTAGCACTAATTCATTCAATAAATAAGACAATGGCTATTCCTACTACCAGGTGACACTTCCTGGTGTCATCTTGATTTGCAAGATGAATCAGGCATCTGATCACATCTGGAGAGGCATGGAAGAGAGAATTTCCCTAAATACTAAAGTACAGAATAAAACATGTTATACGCTCCAGAAACCCGTGGAGTACTGTGGAAGTTAGGTCAAGAAGTAGAAATAAAGGCCTACGTGAGGTCGTACGTTCTTTTTTTTGAGATGGAGTCTTGCTCTGTCACCTAGGCTGGAGTGCAGTGGTGTGATCTCTGCTCACCACAACCTCTGCCTCCTATGTTCAAGCAATTCTCCTGTCTCAGCCACCAGAGTAGCTGGAGTTACAGGCGCACACTACCATGCCTGGCTAGTTTTTTTGTATTTTTAGTAGAGATGGGGTTTTACCACCTTGGCCGGGCTGGTCTTGAACTCCTGACCTCATGATGCACCCGCTTCAGTCTCCCAAAGTGCTGGGATTACAGGTGTGAGCCAGCACGCCCAGCCATATTTATTTTTTATTAAGCTATACTTAGATACAATAAAAGGCACAGCTTTTAGATATACAGTTCTGTGTGTTTTGAGGAATTTATACACCAGGTAACTACCATCCTAATCAACACCTAATTAACACATGAAACATTTCCATCACCTTGATAAAATATTTTTGTGCCACTTTTATTTAAGTTTTCTACATGGGCAGCCACTAATCTTTTTGTCATGACAGATTAGTTTTCCTGCTCCAGGAATTCATGTAATGAAATTACATAGTATGTAGCCTTCTGTGTCTTTTTTCTTTTGTGCCACACAATGTTTTTGAAATCCATCAATGTTGTACATACAACGTGTATGTCTGTGTATCTCGTTTGTTCCTTATTGCTGAAAAGTGTTCTCTTGTAGGAAATCATTACACACATTACAATATGTGACCTTCTGTGTCTAGTACCTCTCCCTACTTTGTAGAGGTGAACAGTCAAAAGAATTAGAATGGAAGCATGGAGAATAAACTCAGGATTCCAAAAATGGAATAGAAGAAGAAGCAGTATATTCTAGGACCTTGGTAGCAGCCAAAATGAACTATTTTGTGGACAACAAAGTCATCTGTAGGGACCTTAACACTGGGATATAAGCTGAGTCACAACCTGAGTGCCCAGTGATCTGTATAAACTAGAGCTATAGGATAGGCATCATTAGGAGATTTGGCTGGTGTATCTGTTTCCCTGGGAAGGACGGAACTTAAGCAACAAAGAGATAAGGTTAAAGTGTCTCTTTCTCTTTCTGTCTGAAAAGCCAGAGGAATTTGTGTTTCCTCCAGTGAGGGTGGGACACAGGAGAGAATGGTGGGCGGGAAGGAGAGGTGGTGATTCTGGAGGAGGCTAGCGGGTGCAGGGCCAGTTAGAAAACCTCAGCTAGGGGTGTGAAAAGGACTTTTAAAAACTTCTGACCAGGAGCAGTGGCTCACGCCTATAATCCCAGCACTCTGAGAGGCAGATCATCTGAGATTTGCAGTTCACCTGAGACATGGAGAAACCCTGTCTCTACTAAAAATACAAAATTAGCTGGGTGTGGTGTCAGGTGCCTGTAATCCCAGCTACTTGGGAGGCTGAGTCAGGAGAATCGCTTGAACCCGGGAGGCGGAGGTTGCAGTGAGCCGAGATTGTGCCATTGCACTCCAGCCTGGGCAACAAGAGCAAAACTCTGTCTCAAAAAATAAAAAAGGGAAGAAAAACTTCTGATGGGTAAGTTTAAACTGTTTGCTATCTATCATATGACCTGCTCCAGGGCCCAGAGGACCCTAATGTCTTTGTACTCATGAATATTTTGTGTGGGAAGAGGTGCAGGCAGTCCTCAGGGAGAGCTGAGTTTCCTTTCCAGGCTTGTGAACCGTGGTACAGCAACAGCCTGGCAAAAGCAGAAACAGAGACATAAATATTTAAGAGAATATAAACCCCCAGATAGTTGCAAAAATGTTAGGAGAGGGTCTTTGATTTCCACAG